AAAAAAAAAAAAAAAAAAAAAAAACCAAAAAAAAAAAAAAAACTGTGTTTCCTATGGAAATTGCTCAGATTTTCTATCTTTTCAGTTGAGATTTGCCAGATTTTTATAAATATAATTGTAATAATGTACATTAAAGAAAGATAATGTAGGGCTGGAGAGATGGCTCAGAGGTTAAGAGCACTGACTGCTTTTCCAGAGGGTCCTGAGTTCAATTCCCAGCAACCACATGGTGGTTCACAACCATCCGTAATGAGATCTGGTGCCCTCTTCTGGCCTGCAGTCATACATGTTGTATACATAATAAATAAAGCTTAAAAAAAAAAGATAATGTAAAACCTATTTATAAATGTTAATGAAACCTATTTATAAATGTTAATGGCTAAACTTTAATGACACAGTTTAATTTTAATTCTTATACAGTGGTAAACAAATCATTAATTTTTAGAGAAGATAGTAATATAGTTTTGTGGTGAGCAGGAAAGATAATTTACCCGTGACAGTTGATTACTGGTTAGAGGAACATTTAGCATATAGACAAAGAAGATGAACTTAACTGGAGCTAGAGTTAGACTTAGGGAATAAAAAACATTAAAAATTAATATCCAGGTAAACCCAAGCTTCCATTTTGTGGGGATCATTAAAACTAAACTTGAGGTTTTAGGGGAGCAGTAAGATTTCATAAAAAGTCACTAGATACAGTATTGAGTCTCCTCAGTCAGTCACCTGAAGCTGTATGGGCTGTTCGCGCGCCCCCCTCCCCAATGTGTATAGAATAAACTAGAATTGAAGAGTGGATTCAATTTATTCTTTTCTTGTTTAAACATTAAATATTGTTTTCTGTATGATATTGATAATGATGAATTGATAATGACAATTTGTATTTGCAGAAGAACTGGAGATCCATTTTCTACTTTACTACAGTCTTATGCTGATATTTTAAAAAATATTTCTAAAATTTTCCTTTTTATGCACTGTAACTTTACAGTTTCTATTTTATTTCTCATATTTCTAATTTTAAGCACTATCTTTTTCTGCTTATACATTTATAATGATTTGGTTTCTGAATGATTCATAGACATAGGATTCTAGATTGTGTCTAGTTGACAGTTTAAACTTACCATCACAATAGCTTAGGACAATTCACTGCATATTCCACAGCAAATTTTCTTTGAGGGGTGTACCAGTTAAATATTTACAAATTAAATTCTTTGGTTTGAAATGCTTTAAAAATATCTTAGATAATTTAAGTAGAATTGTGTGTTTGAAAAAAGATTGACAGGGAGAAATAGCTTATTTATACCATTACATTTAAATATTCCTGCTAAAATTAAGATATTAGTTACATTGGCAGAGACATATATTATAGTATCCCTAATGTCCCTTACTTTGTTTTTAGCATTGGTAGGAAGTCAGGAAATATTTATCTAAAAATGAATGAAAATTTATTTTTATTTAGCTTTAAAAATTTTTTATTAGTAGTATGTGTGTATGATGCATGTCTGTGCATGTGTGTTACATGTATGATGCATGTGTTTGTGATGCTTGTATATGCATGATGACTGTGATAATATGAGTAATGTGTATTTATGATGCTTGTTTGAATGTGTGTGTGTGTGCGCACACATATGTGTGTTTCATGCTTGCCATAATGTGTCTGTGGAGGTCACATATGGGGTATAGGGTATGCTATCATTTTCCACCTTCACAAGAGTTCCGGGATCCATCTCAAGTTGTCAGCAAGTGTTTTACCCACTGAGCCATGCCACCAGTCCTTATTTAGCTGTTGATCATCCAGGAAATTAAAGCTTAGTATGCTTTACATGATAACTCAGGAATAGGTTTGACTTAAAATATAGATAAGGAGAGAAGGATGTGTAGCTATGGTGATATATTGTGTCCCCCAATATATTACACACCCTAATAAAGCTTATCTGATGATCAGAAAAGCAGAAAGAAGCCAGTCACATTCTTACCACTTGGAAATCCTTAGCCAAAAAGAGCTACTTCCTGTATCCCCATGCCTATATACCTTTCTGTTCTGCATCTCACTTTCTCTCTCCACCCATCTACATCACTTCCTGTCTGTCTCTACAGACCTCCAGACCTCTATGGTTAGTGCTAGAATTAAAGGCGTGTGTTACTGTGCCTGGCTCTGTTCCTCAGGGTGGCCTTGAACTTACAGAGATCTGGATGGATCTCTGCCTCCAGAATGCTAGGATTAAAGGCGTGTGCCACCATTGCCTAAACCTATGTTTAATATAGTGCCTGGCTTTTTCCTGTGATCCTCAGATAAGCTTTATTAGGGTGCACGGTATATTGGGGGACACAGTATATCACCACATGTAGCCTAAAACATTAGAGACATTTAGAAATGTAATGTTGGAAATAAAATTCCAACGGTAGCTTTAAATTGTGCTTGTCATTTAAATTATTAGTAGAACCTGACCTGAACTTAAAAAATCCTTGGGCTCCTCAATAACCCTGGCACTTTTTGTGGAGATTGCCTGACTCTCAAAGACTACCCATCATCTTTAGTGAATACTTCTTCATCTTGTTTGGTTTGACCTGAAGTTTTTGTCACGGTGACTGTGTGTGTATGTGTGTGTGTGTGTGTGTCTGTCTGTCTGTCTGTCTGCCTGCCTGCCTGTCTGTCTTTTGAGCAGAAATGGCTCAAAAGACAGCTGTATCACTAAAGCTCACTCCAGCATGGATGGCAGCTTATCAAATCTGGGAAACCTGGAGCACACTGCACAGCCTGCAGGCAGCTCAACAGGTTGGGGAGTGTCCTTTCCAAGTGACTTAGTTTAAACCTCTTCTAGGCAGCTCAGCTGGTTTCTGCTTTGTCCAGGCAGCTGGTCTGGCCTTAAGCGTCTTCTTTGCAGCTCAGCTTCCTTCTGTCCAAGGGGGAAGACTTTGGTTTTTACTGCTTACTGTGGCAGGCAAGAGCCTAGTGAATCTGGTTAGTTTTAGAGACTTCCTTGAAGCTATTTTGAGTTGCTTACCTTCCTGCTTAAGGAACTTCCTGCAGGATGGAATGTTTTAATCTTGAAGAAACTGTCACATAGCACGTCCCCCTCCTTCCTTTTTTTTTTTCCTTACCAATTTCTTCTCTTAAATGTGATCGGTCAAGTATTCTACCATGGTTTTATTCTTATTCATTTCTAAATGCTTTAAAGGGTTTCTTTTGATTTCTTTTATTCATGAATTCTTAAAAGTTCATTATTTAGGTTCTGAACATTGGGCAACTTTCCATGGTGTGATATAGGGATTAGCAAAGTTATATATTTACTTTTTGTTTTAGCCTTTTCTCATCATTAATTTATAAATATTTGGGCTAAGTCAAATCAGTCAGTGTGTCTGTCTACCTAGTGTTAATTAGTATGAAAATGATTTCATTTTCCCTCTAACATGAGTATGTCCTATGTACTTAACAAAATTGTGAGATTTTTTTTTATGACCAGAATGAATGTTAAGTATATATTTGACACATGGTACTTCAGAGTTTTATTTTCCTTTCTATTTATAAGAAGTCAAAGATTTTAATGCATAGTAAATTTTTACTTTGGTGAAATTTCCTCCTCATCTGTGTCACTTAAAACTTGTGAGAGAATTGAAGAGAAATATTGGAATTTTGAACAGTCCTAAAATTTGGCCATGCTGCATAATAATGACTGAAAATCTCATTTTGCCAAATCTGCTCATTTGCTGGTGGAGGAGAAACAAAACAAAACAAAAAACCAGAGTGAAATTTCAAGAACATTACAGTAAAATTTGCCACCTTAGCATTAACTATTTAGTCCAGTCCCAGTACGTGCATTTGCCTTACCGTACAGCCATCACCAGCTGTCTGTCTCTAGAACTTTTTCATCCTCTGAATTGGAACTCAGCTAGGTATGGTGGAGTGCTCCTGAATCTCAGCACTGGGACCGGAGGGCAGGAGCAATAGAAGTTTGAAGTCAGTTCTTGGGATTCATGGGATCCTGTCTCAAAAAACCAAGACCAACCAGTAGGAGGAAACAACTCAGAAACTTAAACACTTAAGCTGCATGTATCTTAGTCCTCCTTAAGATTATCTGTCACTGAGTACAACAAAAGACTTTATATTAACATTAAAGAAAATAAACTTGCTCAAATTCTATTATGAACTGCTTTCACATTAGAGAAATTGTAGACATTGGAAAATGAGATGCCAGCAAAGAACAAGCCACAAATTAGGACTCCAAAATCAGAGTTTAACCTGGATCCCAGTGTTTCTACCTGTTTTCCTGTTTCTTAGTTCTTAATACATTATAGAAAATTTTATAAATCTTAGCAAGAAGTTAAACTAATTTTTAAATTATCATTATATTTCTAATGAATATATTTTTATTTTGTAGCTCCTGGAAGGAAATTTTGCCAAAGAAGTCAGCCATGAGATGGATGGACTTATTTTTCAGCCTATTGGAGTAAGTTCATGTTCATGTGCGTGTGCGTGTGCGTGTGCGTGTGCGTGTATGTACATGCCACAGCGTACCTGTAGTGGTCAGAGTATAATTTGTTGCCTGCATCTAGAAGAGAGGACAGCAGATCTCATTATAGATGGTTGTGAGCCACCATATAGTTGCTGGGAATTGAACTTAGGACCTCTGGAAGAGCAGCCAGTGCTCCTAACCTCTGAGCCATCTCTCCAGTTCCTTACTAATTTTAAAGGAAATTAGTTTTTCAGTGTTTTCTTATAATTCATATGAAATGAATATTAGTTATTTTTCTTTGTTAGAAATCTACCAGTAACATTAAATAAACATTTGTTTCCTTTTGAGGCTTGTTATGCTATTTAAGTCTTAGTATCTCAAAACTTTCCATTTGCTGTAGTTGAGAAAAATTTAAAGTGTTATCGAAGAAGAAAAAGAAAAGTTGCTGTTTGGAGTCCTTTTTCCATGTGGACTTTACCATGTTACTGGTCAGATCACAGGTGGAATAAGCTGTGGTGTACTCTACTGCCTCATTAGCACTGATGTGTTGGGTCTGACAGTTCTCTGGTGGTGTGCTGTCTAGTCACAGAAGAGAATGTTAAGCAATACTCTTTCTCTCTACTCACTAACTCAGTAACTGTCAGTAAATTTCCATTCCAGTCACCACCTGATAACCAGTTCTTTATGCAGCCATATTTTTCAAAATGTGACATTGAATTGACACATTCAGAAAATGGCTGGAGATACAAGTACTGAATAGAAACTTGGGTGGGGATTGAGCAACTTGTGCTTTAACATGATATTGAAATTTCTCTGAATGTTCAAGACTAAGAACTACCTATTCAACAGAGTTATATCCCATGTTGGAACACCTTCCCATTTGCTGCATTTTGTTTTTAATTCACTCTGTCCTTAGAAATTAGGGTTTGAACTAATGAGAAGTTACAGAGGCATCAAATTAGGTAACTGAAGCAAAAGAAAGGAACTAGTAATTTTGAACATCAGGCATGTAATACTAGATTATATGTACCTTAAATATATAGTAAAACTTTGAATTGATATTTGGATACAGTATGCCGTCTTTTCCAGGCTCCCTTGATAGAGGAGGAAAAATTCTTAACCTTCTGAGGTTAAAGGAGGAAGAAGTGGAGTAAACTAGAAGCTGGGGACAGAAATTACAGAAAGTACTCTTAGAAGATGGAATTTGGGTCTTTGAGTTCCATTATTTTCCAGGTTTAGTCTTATAGAATAAAAGAAGTAGTCTAAATATAACAGTAAAAATAGAAAATTTTAGTGTGTGAAATTCATAGGTCAGTCCTTTTCACATACAAGGTTTGGGTAAATAAGAAATGGCTGCAGAGGAATCTGGTGAGATTTGCATGTCAGATGTGCCCTCCCAGCTCATGTGTCTGAACACTTGGCCCCCTCGCTGGTAGACAGGCTGCCAGCAGTGGGCCCTGGAGTGGCATAGCCTGACCACCCTCTGGACTGTGAGCTAAGGTCAGCCTCTCCTCCAGTGGGTTTTTTTGCCAGATGCTTTGTCACAGTGAGGAAAAAGCCTCTTTTGGGGATGTTGAGTAAAATCAATTGAGTTATTACTCTGTTCCTGTTCTGTTAATCTTAATTTTTATTACAACAACTTTGTAATTGATACCTGGTAAGGCAAGTCTCCTTGATGGCCAGAATTTTCTTAAATATTTGTAGGTATTTGCTTTAGCATACAAATTTCAGAAACATTTGTCTTGTTTTCAGTGTGTGTGTGTGTATATATCTTTGAATTTGGTTTGTAGAAAATCAGTATCCTATTAAATCATCTTCTCACTGGCCTTCTGTTCTTTTAAGTTCAGTTGGGCTAGTTTCATTTATGAGTTCTGTTTAGGTAGAAACTATGTTTCTGCCCCTTGTTTGGCACTGGATGTACTGCCATGTTGGATATTTGAAGCAGGATCTCGTAGCTCAGGGTGGCCTGGCATTAGTCATCAGTTCTCTTAGTACAAGGTGTAAGTTGCCATGTGTGGCAGCTGCATTTTTCTTTCTTTTCTTCCAGGCTCCTGGACTGACTTTAGTTCTTTTCAAAGTGTTAAATTTAAGGCATCATGTTTTTTCTGTCTTTGGTGAGATTATGCCCCTCCCCCTTTTTCCTTCTCTTCCTGTCCTTTCTGTTTCATTTTTTTTAAAGACAAGTTTCATGCAGTACACTCTGGCCTCAACTTGCTTTGTTGCTAAGGCTAGCCACTCAGACCCAAATAAACACACAGATGCTTATATTATTTAAACTATTTGGCCTAATGGCTCAGGGTTCTTGCTATCTAGTTCTTATATCTTAAATTAACCCATTTCTATTAATCTATAAGTTGCCACGTGGCTTGTGGCTTACTGATACTTTACATCTTACTTCTCATGGTGGCGGCAGCTGGCAGCTCTCCTGACTCAGCCTTCCACTTCCCAGAATTCTCCTCTCTCCTATCCCGCCTATACTATATTTCCTGCCTGGCTACTGGCCAATCAGCATTTTATTTATCAATCAGTCAATCAGAGCAACACATTCACGGCATATAGAGCCGTATCCACAGCACACATGGGTTGAAGCCAATATACAGTCTATTAGCTGGCAGGAGACTACACTGGGTGTTTGAGACTTGAGTGTAGCTTTTCTCAGGTGTGGGCTTTTAAGCCTGAAACCACACTAGGTTGATACACTTCAGTTAGCAAGAACAGTTAGCCAGAAGCAGAACTCCAGAATCCAAGAACCAAAGTTAATTCATTTAGACTTTACCCAAACTATGGACTTGGATGGGTTAGCTCTTTGTTTTTGTTTTGTTAGGTGTTCCTGCTTATGTGCTGGGATCCAGGGTCTAAATGATATTTCCACCATGTTGTCAATTGTGCTAAGGTCTGGTTGGGGGCCTGCTCCACTTTAGCATAAAAACTTCAAAGCATAAGTACAGTCCACAGAGAGACTGGGAACCTTATTTTCCTGATTCTCTCATAGTATACATTTACAGAATATCAGTTTCGTGTATGGCTCAGTGTATCCATATAGCCAAAGCTTATTAACAAAGTTAGCAAAAGCAAAGCGACTAGATATTTTTTGCTAGCCTGAGTGGACCTTAGGAATTCATAAACCTTATTAATGAGACATATGTTAATCCTTATGCAGAACAGTTCTAAAAGCCTCATGTTGAACACAGTTAGGAGAGACATAAGTTTCTAAGTCAGTTTCTGTTAACCTGAGTCGACCATTATAACTTTAGGAATTTAAAAATCTTAATCATCAAACATGTTTTTAAGTCCTATTTTCATAAACCTTGTTCATGGTTTTGTTTTCATCTGTTATTTTTCATTCTCAGGACAAGACTCTTCATACAAAAATCCATTCTAATCCAAAATATCTTGGAGGCCTGCTGTTATCTCATTAATATAGGGAAAATAAAACAAAACAAACCATTTTGGAGGCCTGGTGTTGTCTATAAGAGGAGATACAATGATAAGTGGAGGGCTCAGTAGATTAGTTGTTTTAAGGGGGCTTCAATACTTGGTTTATGCCATGTGGTCACCTTGACTAAGATGGTGATGAAGTCATATGGTGTGTCCTTTCTTTAACCTAGCTAAAGATAGCTGCCAGCCACATGGTTGTTTCCATCCTGGTGGTATCATCAGCCAAGATGGCGGTAAGCCACTTGTTTGCTATTTAATAAAGGTGAGTCCATTGGGCACACACCATTTTCTATTCCTTTCTTAAACAAGAGTTGAATCTAAGTTACATACAAGCATGCTGTAGCAAATTAAGACTGCCTATATAGCTGGGTGATGGTGGTGCACACCTTTAATCCCAGCTCTCAGGAGGCAGAGGCAGGCAGATCTCTGTGAGTTCCAGGCCAGCCTGGTCTACAGAGTTCTAGGACAGCCAGAGCTGTTACACAGAGAAACCCTGTCTCAAAACAAAAACAAGGAAAAAAATAAAAACAAAACAGAAAGATTACCTATATTTAGATTTGTTTATCCTTTCTATTATAACTTTTAAGCTCAGTTTTTATTACAGACTTTACAGATTTCATTTTATGAGCCACATCCAATGACCTTGCAAATCCTGAGATACAGAAAGTTTGCACAATGGTCTTACAAATCTTGAGATGAACTTTATATTTTAGCAAAAGTTTTAGAGATGTAAGAGAAGGCCATATTTATAGAGTTAAAACCAGGAAGGAGGTGTATGAGATAATTCTTATTGATAGTAGTTTACTTTTTAGCTGTTTTAAAAGCACACAATGTCCATGACTTGCTCTGTTTTGCTCTCCTTCTTGTCATAGACAGGTGGCCTACCTGACCTAGGACAGAGACTTTGGAGGAAACTTTTTAAAACAAATATGCTTAGGTTTAGAGAGAGCAGGTCACAACTCATCTCAAGAGCCAGCTTGTTTTTCTAATGTAGTAGAACAGCATGTTACAGATTTTAATATTATTTATACCCCAAAGATTTGAAGCTCGGTAAGATTGAATTTAGTGAACAGAGTGAGAAACGAGGGCAAGCAGAGAGCAAAGAAGGCTTAAGAGATACTAGAGTTGAGAGTAGAGAAAGCTTTAGAGATAAGGGGATTTGGGGATCATTTGCTTGTATGGTAGCAGAAGTTGTTACAATCTTTGAGAATTTGGAAGTTGAGTGTGCTTTTTTTTTCTTTTGGGCCACTGAGACAGATTATCTAGTCTGTACTGAGGCCAAGCCCTTTGTAGTATAACAGTGTGCCTTAATGGAATCTGAGTCTGAGGAGGAAAAGATTAGAGAAGGCAGGTGAGGGGTCATGGGTTTAATTCTCAGTGGGAAGAGCCTGTGGTTAGAGACAGTAGCTAGCTGTGAGAGCAATCAGGAAAGAAGCAGAGGGAAAAAGAGGTGGAGAGGCTTAGGGAAAAGCATTGCAAACAGGAAGTCTGCCAGAGAGAGGATTCTAATATCTCAACACTTATGGACTTCTGCAGAGTAGGCTTCAGGACCCGAG